TTGATAAAAATGAAGACAATTATAGTTTTCGCACTAATTACCATTGCAGCTTGCAAAGGGCAATCTACTTGCCCTAACTTAACGATACACAACATGACACTGGCAGAATCGCTACTTATGAAGAAATAGTTGATTTGCCACAGAAACCAGAAGTTTTACTTATTGATGTTCGTCAACCGGAGGAATTGGAGCAGGAAGAAAAATTCCGACGGCTATAAACATTCCATGTGAGTATAAATATTCTGTTTAAAATCTGCCAAAATGGATTTTCAAAGTTCGTTTTTATCCATGTTTTTTATGAATAATAATAAGTCCCTAGCATATCATAGAGTGGTTCAAATTAGGGAATGCAACACTGATATACCGCCCGAATTTCGGCGGTTTTGATACTGGTATTTATCTTAAAAAATACCGGTATTTGGATATTTTTACATAAAGCGCTATTTGATACATATTACACTCGAGCTTAAATTTTCATCTTTAAATTCCATAATCGCATAAACAGATGCAGCTTTAAGTATAAATAGTATAAACATGTCATAATATAATAAACAGATGCAGCTTTAAGTAGTTCTATAGTTAAACAATGTCATAATATTATCTCAACTCGTCATAAACTGAATATTTAATGCTTATCAAAGGGCTTCATATCATTTTAAAATAAATGGAATCGGACTGATAGATAATCATGTTGTAATAATTATCTATATAAAAATGTAACGTTTTTTTTTAAAGTGATATTTGCGCCAAAATATTTTAATCATAAATACCACTGCCTTTTTCCTCACTTCGTACATATTAATCATATTATTACTAATATTTTTGCTTTTTATTACAATTGTAAAATATTATTTTACATAAAACGTATCGCAGTTTGAAAATAATGTAGGGCCAATTTATTATTTCAAATAAGTATACTCCATAATTAGAGTATATTATTATTTATCTTGATAAAGTTTCGGAAATTAGTATAAAATAAATTTTATAAATTAGTATATCGGTATTGCATTTCCTAGTTCAAACCATCGCCAACACGCTCTTAATATGAAAAGAATCGATACCTACAATAACATATAATTAATAATTATATATACATTATATATATATATATATATATATATATATATATTATTTTCTGACGCTTTGGGCTCTTCATTTCAATTTTAATAAGTTACTTGATTCGCTTAGGTTTTTCGTCATACAAGGCTATTTATTTACAAATTAAAAATGTACTACAATTTTGTACCAATTATTTCATAATTTTATAATAACGCCATTTATATATCATTTGTTATTATAGTATTCATTCACTAGTTCGTTTAACTTTAGCTGGATGAGATGAGACAACTCGAAACGAGTATATAAATAATTGCCTTTTTTTTTCAATTTTTTACATATTGACGCTATGGAGAGATTTTCCATAAATTTTCATTCTTTTATTTCACAATTGTGGTTTTAAACTCTTGTAATAATATTTCCATTTATTTAAGTTTGATAATTAAGTGTATTTAATTAAAATTCAATACTTTTTGATTCAGCTATGATTTTATCAGACTTAATTTAAATTGGAGCTAATTTGCTCCACTTTATATATGGAAGTAATTTAAACAGAACTATAATAAACCCGTCATTTCATTATGAGTTAAAAATACAATTGTTTTAAAGATGCAATTAAAAGTTGTTTTATTAATAAAACAAATATACAATCGTTTGATAAAATTTATATAAAATCACTTGAAAAACGCTGTATAATTTCTCGGTGGTGTTAAAAATTACGGTTATCAGTATTTTACATAAAATACTGATGCAATAATATATAAAGAAGAACGAAGTAATTATTGAATTTAAATTAATACATAAAGTTTGCTCGCTTTGAAAACAAATTCTGATTTAAGAACGGGATGAGTATTGTGGCGTTATAAGTTTACTTGTAATTGGTTATACAATTCTTAGATTATATGATTTTCTTTTTATAAATTTGATTATTTTGTTTCAGTACGTGAATTGGAAAATGCTCTCAAGAACATGTCTCCTGAAGAATTCAAAACCAAATTCGGAAGAGATAAACCAACATTCGATACTGAAATCATTTTTAGTTGCCGTTCCGGAAAACGAGCAAAGGAAGCTATGGAAACAGCATTGGGATTGTGTTACAAGAAGTAAGAAGATATTCTTTTATACATAACATTAATTTCACAGATTTATTAAAAACTAAATTCGGAATAGATTTCTTATTAAATCTCATCATATGTTCATGATTTGAAATAAACAAAAAAAAAATATCATAATTATAATCATGACAAAATAACTGAAACTCATTCTGTTTTAAGAAAAAAATTAATTCAAATTACTGTAAACTTTCAGATCAAGATACTACGAAGGTAGCTTTTTAGAATGGAGCAGCAAGCAGAAGAAACAGTGAAATTGCAGGGTTAATCAAATATTTTATATGATACACATATTATTTACAGATATGATCAAACTAAGTATTACTTGTGTGTGTTATATTAGCATATTGATATTTTCTTACGAAATGTTCTTAAGATGATTTAAAAATATTGTTGAATAAAATTTGTATACTTTTTAGATATGCACCTAAATTAAAATAAAAATCTTTACATTCCTAAAATAATCGCCTGATTCATTCATATGCTTGATTAAAATTGAGTTTTCGCAGAAAAATAGATTTAGATAATAGATTTGTAATGGTAAAACTAATGCAAATGAACTAAACATTATTTATTGAGTTGCTTCAAAACTTATATACATTAGATTATAAATTAAAAGCATTACATGATATCGCGTAATAATTAGTCGCATAATAAAAATAATATATCAAATTCATTTTAAAATACAAATTGTGATTAGGGCCACATAGACAAAGACATCATAAATTATTCAAGATATTCAGTCTTATTTAACAAATTATATACTTAACTGATACTATTGTTTCTGTTTTTCGGATAATTTTGAATTAATGATCTCTTTAAACTGTCCTAAGATCCTATGCTCACGTTTTGTCTTTCTTCTTTACTGAACATAGCAAGAGCACGTTTTTCATCCGCGGAATAAATTTGATTTTCTTTACGGATACGTACAGCTTCCATACGACGATGCCTGAAAACAAAGTTTTAAGTGATATGTGGCTTCTTTTCTTCTATAATAACGTTAGTTCTAAAATATGTTCGTTGAAAAAAAAAGAACAAACAAAAAAATCCTTATAATAATTTAACAATATCACAATAAAGCCCCGACCAAGCTACCTGTTAGAAATGCTCTTTATGTGAAATACACTCATATGAGTAATAATAAATCTCACAAAACTTAAGTCAATACATTCTTGAATATTCCCATAACAGTTGTAGGTATATATAGGCAACCCCCCGCATAACACGGTTAAAGAATTGAGACCATCCCTCTCATAACAAGTACTTTAGCTGCATGGGTTCGCTATAACACGATTTGAGATTGAGCAAAACCCTAATAAAATAAAATATATAGTTAAACCTATTAAATTTAAAATTCATATAATCTAAAATTAGAAAAGTCTCCATACAATAGCTCTATAAATTTGATAAACTAGTGCAAAATATAAGTAGTTTGATTTTTGAAAAACAATTCTAGGCTTATCTGAACAACATATTTCACATTTTTTAAACAAAGATTCTTTAAATAAAATGAGCATAAAAGTTTAATAACTATAACTTGGCATGTGTCAAATATAAAAATATCATCTTGCTTAAAGCAAATAATCGCAAATATAATTTTTTTTGCAAAAAATAATGCACGGATCTGGAGGGTAGTACAGAAAACTGTTCAGAGGATGAAAAAAAAAAATAATAAATATACCAATATTTATTATAAAGTCATGATATGTGGCATGTTTTTTTGTATTCTTGGAACGTAACCCCTCTTTTTTACTAGTTCTTTGTCCCATATAACACGGATTTGCATAAAAACACTACTTCTTTGTAACATAACTACCGTGTAATACGAAGGTGATTATTATACAATTTCAAACACAATTATATCAAATCAGCTATTTAAATGAAATGTTCAAATATATATTTAATTGATTCATACAATCTCATGTTTAAATGAATTTACATTACTATTTAATCCTTCATGCATTTTCTAAAATGCATATCACATTTGACAAAAAAACTACCTTTGTGTGAACATAAAGATAACGAAACAGTCTAAGTACTGTACTTAGACAGTAAAAAAAATTAGGCAAAGGCATAAATTTTATGCATTTAAAAAAGGGCATGACTGGAGGATTATTGTGGTCAACAGCTTATCTCCAAAAATAATTTAATTTTTAAACAAACTTTTATACACTTATTCTTGACTAGTTGATCTTCAAAAAATAAAAAAAAACAAAATCAATTTTTAAAAAACTCTAGACCAGAATGGCTTCTTCATTTAGTTTCAAAAATTAAACATGTTATAATCACACTAATGAGAATACTCTTATGCAATTTTAAACATAATTAGAGCCTTCCAAGAATACATTGTAATTAGATAATTAATTACATATGTATGTATTGATTTTATTTTGTAGAGAACGCCCAAGATAATCATTTTTACTAGTTTTTAACATCAATTTTCATTGTTTTTATAAATTTATCTATTCAATTGTTATGTTTTAAGCACCAATAAAAATAAGACGCAAAAGAAAAAAGCCTATCTCAACCCATGTTGCCCAATATTGTGCTTCAACAAAGATTCCATGAACTAACCTGCTTCCACTCATAACATAACCGACGCTTTCATACTGCGCGATTTCATCAGACGTGAGACCAATTTCACCACGTCTAGGTATACGTTTTCCCTCAGCAACAAATGCAGCCATAGCAGCTCCTTCACCAGGTAACAATGCATGTCCAAAGTCCTTATGACTAAGACCAGCACTTTGTTTTGCACTGGACCGATACATGATTTCTCATCATCTGAATCAGAGCTTTCCGAAGATGATGAAGAGGATGAGGATACCACATTTTGAGACTTTTCGTATCTATGGAAAAAAGGCAAGTATTAATTGATTCCTTTTTTGTAGCTAACATTAATTTTAAAATTTATACCTTTATTCTTTTGTCTGAATCTTCTGTTTTCTTATTCTTGAGTTTTTCTTTCTTCAATTTTTTCTTTAATTTTTTCAATTTCTTCTCTTTCTTCTCCTTTTTCCTTTTCTTTTTATCCTTATCTTTCTTACGTTTTTCTTTGTAGAGTTTTCTGACTTAATCTTGTTTTTCCCATCTTCATCAGAACTATAAAAAGAATTCAATTGCAGGAATGTTTAAAGGCAATGCAGTTTTATCTCTCACCTTCATAAAAATTATAAAAAAAAAAATTGATGTAAGTAATATGTAAAGTCATATAAAAAACAGTTTTTTTCACTGTTTCAGTAGTTTTGTTATTTCATATCTACTAAATTAATCTTTAACATTTGTATTGTAACATTTAGTGAGATCTGTTTATCTGTTTGTTCCACAAATTTTTAAATATATATAAAAAAAAACAATCTCAACATGGTGAATTTTTTTTTTTCAATTTATGTTAATTCCATTTTATTTTATTCTCAACATTTAGAAAATCTATAGAATAAATTTTGATTTATACTATTGCTACTTTGCTAAAATATCGAACCTTTCTCTTGCTGGAGATTTTCCCAGAGAGCTGCTACACCCATAACACCTATATTTTCCCTTTCAATACGCCGAGCTTCCATGAATTTTTCAAATTGGTTTTGGTGTTTGTATGATGAAGAATCTACCATATATAAAAAACATAAGGTTGTTTTAATTATTTAAAACTCTATTTACAATTTATATTTATATATACAAATATGACCCACCATGCTTCCTATGACTTCTATGATCCTTTTGATACATGTCATGGGGCCATCTCTCATTATCTTCATTTAATCGAGTAGAATTTTTTGCATGACTATCATAAGAATCTCGATTGCCATTTACTGAGTTCTTGTGCTTAGAGGCAACTGATATTTCATTTATTCTTTCTCTCTGAAACCTGCTTTTTGATGTGGATCTACTTCTTTGCTTTCTTTCCCTATGTCTTCTTTCAGAACTATCTCGCAATTTGTCTTTTCTGTCCCTACTTGAATGATCATTTTTTGAATCTTTTCTTCTTCTATCATATCTCTCTGAAGATCGATCTCTTACATATCTATTTTTGTTTTGATCTCTAGATCTATCAAAAGATTTTTGCAATCTTGTTGGACTGCGTGATCGAGATCTATTTCTAATTTTGGATCTTGACCTGGATCTACTTTTCGATCTCATTTTGTAGGATTAAATTATTGGAAACTTAACCTAGGGTTGCTGTATCTTTGAACCTGTTGAATATTTTTTTAAAAAGTATAAGATTATATAAAATAATAATTATAGATTCTTTAAATAAATAAAAGTTATACAAAATATATGAACATGATTTCTTTCCATAATTGCTTAAATGTAAATAACAATTGAAAATCAAATGACAAGCATTATAAATTATGATATTTCTTTTATTGTTTGTGTTAAGTATACTAATAAGAGATGTCAAAAATATTAACACCCCCCTGGAAGATGAAACAGATATGAATGTCTCGATAACCAATTATGAGGTATCACAATTATTATAGATGTACTAAAAAAAATATTAAAATAAAATTATAACATGAATGTGCTAATCTTACTATTATATAAATTTAAAATTGTTGAACATTATATAGCAAATGGAAAAAAATACGGATATTAAATCAGAAAAAAATGATGAATTCTCGACAACATCAAATTCAATAGCTAATGGTGGATATAAATTAAGAAAAGCAAAAGATAATGAAACAACAGATGTTATACGCCTAGGTAACACAAAAAAGAGAATGTACTTGGTATAAGGCTTTATGATTAATTTCAATTTTTACAGCATATTTGATTCCGTTGTGTATAATCAAATTTGTGATGGTAATGTTAACTCATACAAAACCATAACTTTATTATGTATATTATGAAAATGTAAACTCAGCAAAATGACAAAGTAGTTCTAAATTATCTTTAATTATTAAATAGTAAATCTATTTCTATCAATAGGTATTTGGTTGAATGGGTATGCATGCAGGTGCGATAAACACTTACGTTCTACCAAAAAGAAGAAGTCCCCATCAGAGACATTAAGCCTAAATTATTAGAAATAATAAACAAAGCCCTTCAAGCTCACGCAAACAATAAAATGAACCAAGAATTAGAAACAGATCAGCAAACATATTATTACAATGGGGATGTTTGTGTATGTGCTTGCTCCATAGCTGGGCGTATAACAAAATCGTTTTGGATGTATTGTTTTACAATAATGTTTATTATTTTATTGTATAGAATAAATCATTTTAAGCAATTAATAAAGTATTAACTGACGTACCCATAACCTCAAATGTTTGACGTTTTGAACATAGATAAACAAGTATAAATAGATAGCTATGTCGGGCGATTGACGTTTCATCGAT